TATAATATATTAATAAATCATTAATATCCTCTTCTCAAAAGTCCATCCTTACAAATTGTTCAGGTGCCATGTAACCCAAATAGACCATGCTACCCTCGGGTCAAGTACATACCAATTATAGTTATGGGCTTAGACACTAAATCAAACAGTCTCCCACTTGGATAAGTCTATTAACTATTACTACAAGTATAACTTAAAACAATGACTAACAATCGTAGCTCTTAAAACCCTCTGTCGAACCGAGATGCTCCATTTTAGATAACTGATCATATAATCGTCTGTTCTCAAGATACTAGTCGGGCAAATACATGGAACGACGTCATAGTTACTGTACAATAGTTTGTTTCTCGATTTCTGATTTGTTTGACATAGAACTTAATTGAACACATCAATTTAGTTTTGACTGGGCTTGACACATAGGTCAAAACAAAATCATCAAGGGGCCCAAGATGTCGCTTTTAATCCTCCAAGGACTAAAGGGAATACATAAACTTCGACTCATATGCTTGTACTAACTACTCATCAAATTGTACAGAACAACACGTTTTATAGGATCAAGTTACTGATCCGGTTTCCTACTATCAATGTACAACCAACTCATAGTCAACAACTGAAATCTCTTGGTTTGAAGACTTATATGATATTATCATCTCACGATCACTCGAGATAAATTCCATGAAGTGATACAAGTGAGCGTGGGTTTAATCTAATAATCACACCTTATGATCACTCATGAATATTTCAGCTAACTTTGTTATGTCTAATACAATTTAGAAAAATCTACATGCCAAATTCAGGAAAGTCTTGCTTCAATTCCTACCTCCAATGTATGATCGATTGTGGATAGTTTGAATAATATAATTATTCTGGAAGTCGAAACATGCAAAGTGAAACAATAGTAAATGATTGACATAAGACAATACCATACTAGTAAATAAAAACATCTTTTATTTAAGCATCAAATGTTAATTACATTTAAACTATTACAAGTTTCAAAAGCTATCTAATCATTAAAACTAATATCGTCCTTCAGCCCGATGCATCTCGCATGCTGTAAGTCGTTAACCCTACTTAGTCCCTTCGTGAGGGGATCTGGTGGGTTCTCCTCAGACGATACCCTCTTTACCACGAGGATTCCTTCTTGTATTCAATGTCTTATGAAGTGATTTATTCTGTTGATGTGTCTGGATCTGCCATGATCCCTTGGTTACTTGGCTATGGCAACCACACTTTCACTATCATAGAAAATCTCCATAGGCTCCTTTATAGTTGGTACAACTCCAAGGTCTCCGATGAAGTTCTTTAGCTATATCGCCTCCTTCGCTGCCTTGCTTGCTGCTATGTACTCTGATTCACAAGTCGAATCAACTACTGTCTCCTGTTTGGAACTTTTCCAACTTATTGCTCCTATATACAGGGTAAAGTTCCATCCCAAATGAGAGCGGAAATTATCTATATCGGTCTGAAAGCTAGCATCACTATACCCAACCACCCTCAAGTCATCACTCCCACTGAGGGTAAGGACCCGGTCCTTAGTCCTCCACAAGTACTTGAGAATGTTCTTTACCACAGTTCAGTGAGCTTTGTCCGGATTCGCTTGATATCTGCTGACCATGCTCAAATCAAAGGCCACATCAGTGCTAGTACAAGTCATAGCATACATGACTGAGGCAACAGCAGAGTCATATGGTATTCGACTCATCTCAGCTATGTCAGCCTCTGTACTCTGAATCTGAGTTCTACTCAGTTTGGCATTTCTCTGGATCGGTAATTCAAGTTTCTTGGAATCCATCATGCTAAATCTTTTCAACACCTTTTCCAAGTAGGTACTTTGACTAAGTCCAATCAGACTCTTACTCCCGTTTCTCAATATCCTTATCCTAAAAATATAGGCAACTTCTCCGAGGTCCTTCATAGAGAAACAGTTCTCAAACCAGGACTTAACCTCCTACAAGGTTGGGATGTCATTTCCTATGAGTAGTATGTCATCCACATACAATACTAGAAAACTAACTATGCTCCTACTTTCTTTGACATATACACATGACTCATCCTCGCTTCTTGAAAATCCAAAATCTTTTACTTTCTCATTGAAACAAAGATTCCATCTGCGAGGTGCTTGCTTTAATACATAAATGGATTTCTCAAGCTTACACACTTTATTAGGATACTCTGTGTTGACAAAACCCTATGGCTGACTCATGTAAACATCCTTAGCCAACTTTCATTAAGGAAAGCGGTTTTGACATCCATTTTCCATATTTCATAATCATGAAATGTTGCAATGGCTAGCATAATCCTAATAGAATTAATCTTCACTACTGTTGAGAAGGTCTCATCATAGTCAACTCTTGGAGTTTGAGTGGAGCCCTTTGCAATTAGTCGCGCCTTATAAGCATTTACTTTCCCATCCATGTCGGTATTCTTCTTGAAGATCCATTTGCACCCGACTATCTTACGACCCGGTACATTGTCAACCAAGTTCCAAACTTGATTATCATCCATGGACTGAATCTCGCTGTCCATAGCCTCTTTATATTTAGCAGACTCAGGGCCTACCATGGCTTCCTTGTAGTTTTTAGGTTCATCCAAATTTATCAGTGTGCTATCACTGATAAATGTATCACCTTTTGTAGTAATATGGAAACCATAAAACTCAGGTGGAACTCTAACTCTACTAGAACACCTCAGAGGTATAGACTCGTCAATTGGCTCAACGGGAGTTTCCTCCTTAGGTTGATGGCTAGTGTTTGAGGTTCCTTCACTGCTTGATTCTTGAAGTTCTTCATGGTCATATTGCCTCCCATTGTCTCCTTGGTATATGAGCTCTCTCTCACGAAAGAGTCATCTCCTCGCAACGAAGAAAACATTGTCACTCGATCTGTAGAATAGATAACCAAAGGATTTTTGTGGGTAGCCGATGAAAATACACCGCTCACTTTGAGCTTCGATCTTGTCGTAAGTCTTGCATCTCACGAAAGCCTCGTAACCCCAAACCTTGATGTGTTCTAATGTGGGAACCTTCCCAGTCCACATCTCGTGAGGTGTTTTTGAAAGCTTCTTGGTAGGGACTAGATTAAGGATATGGGCGACAGTCTCTAAGGCATACCCCATGATAAGATTGGTAACGGAGCTCGACTCATCATGGAACGAACCATGTCCAATAAGGTGTGATTGCACCTCTCATCCACACCATTAATCTATGGTGTCCTAGGTTGTGTTAACTGTGAAACAATTCCACATTCCTTAAGATAGTCAAGGAACTCGATACTAAGATACTCACCACCCTGATCGAATCGAAGCATCCTTATCTTCTTGCCCAACTGATTCTCCACTTCTTGTTTAAACTCTTTGAATTTCTCAGAGGTTTCTGACTTGCGCTTGATTTAGTAGACATGCCATATCTACTATAATCATGTCACACCCTCAAACCGAAACGACAGAAACGTTCGGGGGTGGATGACGTGATGTACAATATCACAACAATTGCATCATAGTAGTCAAAGTAAATACAACCATTAAATTGAAAAATATGTATTTACATCTATTTAATACACAGGTTGTATACATAAAAAGTATAAAAAAATATAAAAGACTTAACTCTATACGCTTCGTCTTCTCAAAAGCCTGATGGAGTACCTGTCTACTAATTTCCTGAGAATACAATCGATTTTTGAAAGTGTATCAGTATTAAGCTGGTGAGTTCATAAGAATGTTTTTGTAATGAAAACCTATCATTGGATCTGTATAAATTTTTTTTTGTATGCTTTCCAAGAAAATCCAACATTTTCTAACATATGTTTTTCACTACTAGAAAACAACCATTTAATGACGCGCAAACAATGACACACGGTGATTTACGATACGCAAAAGCGTGTACCCTTAAAATAATGTCATCTCTTCTAAAATTTGAAGGATAAACGACACGCTTTTGTACGCGCCCTAAAATTAGTGTCCAAAAAAAAAAATTAAAAGCACGGAGGGCACTTACTTAAAAATGGGCGTCGTTTAGAAATGTCGCTTTATATTTTTTGAATGAAAGGCGCTTTCTCTTCTTTTGCAATTCAAAGGCGCTTTCTCTTCTTTTGCAGCTGGGGGGAAACGAAAATCCCAAAAGTTTGAACGGCCGCCATTGTTATTCTCTACCTTATTTCCATCGTTCTTTTTTTCTCTCTCTCTCTCTCTCTCTCTCTTAGTCTCTCTATCTCTCTCTTTCTCTCTCTCTCTCTTTCTCTCTCTCTGTAATACACAAAAAAACCCTAATATCATCATCAATCCTCTTTTCTCCCACAACAAAATCGTAATATCACCAAATCTCTGATCCCGTCTTTTGAACTGATCAAACCCGTAGGGGTTCTCGATTTCTCTATGTTGATGTGTGGTGACATGAACAAAAAAAAGAGTGTCGCGCCTCTACCTTTCAATTTCATTTGTCGGTTGCTTCAAATCGACTCTTGCTTGCTCTCTCACAGGGGTTTCTTTATGCGTTCCCTTCACCTCCGTTGATGTCGTTTTCCGACTCACCCTCTGTTAATACTATCTATTAATAGCTTCAGTCGCCAGCTCCTGATGTGGGTTTCAATACTTCCATCTCAACTTTCTCTTCCATCTATAATATTTCTTTTCGACGATGAAGGTTTCTCATGATTTTTTGTTGTACTTACAAGTCCTAGGTCTTGATGCGTGATGCGTGCGTATTTTGCACCTGCTGCATCCCCTCTCCCAGTACCGATCAAGCTTCGGAATGATTGTTATCCCTCCACCTTCCCCTACGAATACGTTCCCACCTCCCATAATGTCAAACTCCTAAAACTGCCTCCACGATTGATTGAAGTTTTTGTCTGTTAGTCTTGAACCGAAATCAGTTTCACGATTGATTGAAGTTTTTGGAGAAATCTAGGCAGTGAATTTCGTTGAATTCTAGTTCTGAAATATGAAGATTTTAGCTTCGAATCTTATTGAAATGAGCTGAATCATTAATTGAAAATTTCCAGCGAAGTATGGATCTAAATAAGAAGCGAACCAAAACCTTGAAGGGGAAACCGAGGTTTTCAGATTTCAATTTAGTACCGGATGATAGGGGAGCTGATGTTCATCCCTGGTTGAGTGTTCTCGCCAAAGCGTATCCATTCCTGGAGGAGCTACGACTGAAGAGAATGACAGTTTGCTACTCATTGCAGGTAAAATTTCTACTTTTATTCTCGATGTTAGAGCTAAATATGTTCTCCAAGGTGCATCAATCACTTTATCTATTCAACAATTCATAAGAATTTGTCAAATTAGGTTGATATTTTAGCTAAATATGTTCTTGATTTATCTTTTGAACAAAATTTCTAAAATCTTGATGAAACTTTTTGTAGATATTTGAGTTGAGTTCAACAGAAGGGCTATAAGTTGGTCTTTATCTATTCAGAAGAGTAGCTCATTCCAGAATTCTTGTATGTGGAGGAGATGGGACAGCAGGGTGGGTATTGGATGCAATTAAGAAGCAAAGTTATGTTTCACCCCCTCCTATAGCCATTCTACCTGTTGGAACTGGGAGTGACTTGGCTAGGGTTTTGAATTGGGGTGGTGGTTTGGGGTCTGTAGAGAAACAAGGAGGACTTTGTATGATGTTGCAACACATGGAGCATGCTGCAGTTTCTATTCTTGATAGGTGGAAGATTTCTATTGCTAATCATAGGGGTCGACCTCTTCATGCCCCAAAATTTATGAATAATTATCTTGGTACGCATAATTGCTTTCATTTGTACGCTTAATTGCTTTCATTTATTATCTTGTTGCATTTATTCATTAGGTTATTGTGAAAATTGTTCCTATAAAACGTGGTCACAAGCTGAGAATTACATGGCCGATGACACATGGCATTGATCATTACATGGAAGGGCCAAGTAGGTATCTTGGACACTTAATTGGTCATGAAGGAGAAGGATCCCTCTTCTATGTCTTGAAGAAATTAGGTTGGGCAACAAGCTTGTCTGCTGGTGAATCAAACTGGACTGTGGAGTTCTCTTTCTTTAAAGTGGTTATTGAATTAACTGATGTTGGACATGGTTAGTGTTTCCAGTCTTCTGTTTCGCTCTGTGTGTGTGTTCATTTCTTTCATGTTTATTTAGATACTAACATCATTTGTAATATATGTTTCATGAAAACACCAGCAAATGCTGAACATATAATTAGGCTCCTTTTCAAATACATTACACTCTTGCAACGATATGGTGTTTGCAAGTGGATCTATGATGAGGTACGTGAAAATACCAGCAAATATTATCATATCATATTCATACTCTTTTTTTAAAAATAAAATAAAATCAAATGATGTTATTTTGTTATATGATCCATATAGCTTTCTGCAATCTGTGAGATGACTTTTCATTATCAGGACAAGATTCTTCTAATTGATTATGTTGTGAAATTTTCATCAAATATGCAGGTATTTGCACTTTTTATCATATTTTGGCTTTACTTATTTGAATAATCATTTTGATTTTGAACAACATTGCAGTTATACCCTTCAAAAGATTGGCTAGTTGGATCATCTTTACCTTCCACTTTTTTCCCCTGAAGTTATTCAGTTTGCACTAAGTGAGATCACACCAAACAATGTAAGGTAGAGTATCATCTATCAATGAGTTTGTTAGTGCTGGCTAAATTTATATGATTTCTCAGTATGCCCTTCTGGTTCCATAAACATTTGGGAGTCAACAAACTTTGATGGACATACTGAGCTAACAGAGCCATGGTATGGAACTGCATTTTCTGTTGAAAAAATCACTGGCTCCACCATTTAGGTATTACTTTTGACTTTTCTTTACATGTGTTTGACTTTGTAATCAGAATTATTTATAATAGCACATGTGTAAATAAATTACAGGAATGGATGAAAAGAGCTCCTGAAGAAGACCTACATTTTCCCTGTTAAAGTCCCTAAGTTTATTCTGTTCTTGAACATTTTATGCAGCATCTAATCATTGTGTAGCATTGGATATTGATATGTCGATGGACGTTGCTACACATGGGGACGAAAAGACGTGAGTTCATATCATTTCTTCGATCAATTATTTACATATTTGATCCTCCTGCATCACATGATATATATATATATATAGTTGAACATTGTTACTCAAATCTTTTTTTTAATTATATGTTTGCAAAATAAATAAAGAGGAATTCACTACCTTTTATGCCCAGTTCTTCTTTGATCAGAATTGAGTAAGCTTGTCCCTCCATTGAGCTGTGTGAAAAACCACACTTAATGGGTTAAGCACTTGATCTGGAGGAAATGACTTAATGGGTTAAGACAAAAAGTAAGAAAAAAATACCAACATCTCTATAACGTTCTTCAACAGCAGTAATAAGCATGTTTCTTACAAGATTAAACTCCTTGGTTTCAATACAAGGCTGTCCACTTGGTCTGTATAATTTAAAAAAAAAAAGTTTGTTTATATAATTAAAAAAAAAGATGAAAGATGGGTGTGTTTAACTGTTTATAGTTTATACCGATCAAGTTCTTTAAAAATTAAACCATTTGGAGAACCCTAGAATGAAACCTTTGCAGATTCAACAACCTTCATCCCATCACTATGTGCCAAGAATTTGTTCACTTGTATTGGCACCTAAAATATATAATATTAATAATAATAACATTTTATCTTTTATGTAACAATTATTCAAATTCAGAATTATTCAAGAAAACCATTGAGAACATACCTTGCACCTCACAACAATATTAATGGCATCAGAGGGACGAAAGTCAAAGCTAAGACACTCATTTTCATCATCCACCCGAGTTTTACAATCATTTAATCACCGATTTTTTTCATTATGCAAAAACTTCTAGAAGCATTGGTGATTTTATCAAAGTTGATACCTTTGTGAGATATAATTGAGCAAAATATGCCTCGCGTATTCTCTTGGTTACTCGAACACGCACAAGTGTATATGGTGCTTGTTCTTGTGAACGTTAGTTCATATACCAAAATAGCCATCAAAATCGAAATCTCGTATGATTTTCGACATTTAAACCATAAATCACTGTGTTGTTTTTGGACATGGTGATGCGATCATTCGAGAGAAGCCAACACTTGTGTCTGGTTTGTCTAAGTTAGAGAAAAATTCGAAACCTTTTATACCCTTTAAGAAAACTATACTCTTCGATTCTAGTCTATTTCTGTATTTGTGATTCGATTTTTGAAAAATTTCAAATCTTTTTTCAGGTATAAAGTTGTGAAAGCAAGAAGTGGGGTAGGCCATATTGTTGGTCTAATTGAAGATGGCCTTTCTTTCTCTTTTGGTTGGAATAAGCATGGGCAACTTGGAACAGAGTCAACCAAAAATGGTGATTTTCTCTGTAGAATTTGAATTATCTCCATGCTTATATTCTGGCTTCTAGAAGATTCTTTCATGCTAACAAGTGTTTTTGATTATGTAGAGTTTGAATTATCTCCAGTACGTTGTCTTATAATGGATGAAAAAGATGTTTCATGTGGGGCTGATTTTACTGTTTGGTTACCTTCCATTAAAGGCGCTTCGATACTGTAAATTGTCTATTTTACCCTCTTCGATTCACACTTGTTAACATGTTTAAATAAAGTTTTTTTTGTTGGTTTTTAGAAAATAAGCACACAGAACTGAAATATGATATCTCATGTCTTGACATAAACCCCATTGGTGAAAATCCAAATTATAGTAATCTTGCTGCAGTTGGGATGTGGACTGATATTTAATTACAGATACCTTACTTGTTGTGCCTTTGAAGGGGTATGATTCTCATCTCATCTTCGTCTTTATCTTCGTCTATGAGGGCAAATTTGTAAAAAGTGTTTAATGTTTAATTACAGATACCTTGTTGTGTGCACTTGGGGATGGACATCTTTTGAACTTCTTACTCAACACAAGCACAAGGAAATTAACAGACAGGAAAAAGGTGTCACTTGGGAAAAATTAAGAATAAATAGTAATTAAAAAATTATAATATATGTTTTCACAGTTAGAGAACCTAAGCACAAACTGGAGAAGTGAGTTGAAGAGCTGACATGGGGATTAGACTCTGAATATCTCTCATTTGAGGGTATATATTTTTTTTATATTTCTAGTATCTAATTAGTTTGTAAACTTTTGTTACATCTATTGATTTGTTTTATCGATCCATGGAACGATTATTTGTATGACATTAAATTTTATACAATGGATTGTATTTTTTGTATATGATATTTTATTTTCTATTATGAGACACTAAATACAAATTTAATTTGAAAATTAGTTAATCTATAAATAATTTTTTTTTAATAAAATTTAAAATTATGATACGCAAAAATGTGTGTCATCTTCATTTATGACATGACCTTTCTTGACAGGGGCTTTCTTGATATGCATTGCGTGTCATTAATACGCGCGTCGTAAGGTTATGACACGTGAATGCGTGTCGTCTTCATTTATGACAGGGCCTTCCTTGAAACGCATTGCGTGTCGTAAACGCGCGTCGTAATTGCGCATCATAAATGAGCGTCTTAAATGCGCGTCGTCTCTCTTTATGACAGGGCCTTCCTTGATGCGCATTTGCACGTCATCTGAGCCTTTTACGACGCGCAATGAGCGTCGTAAAAGGCTGTTTTTCTAGTAGTGTTTGTTACTGTGTTCTTTAAAGTGTTAGTTGCATGCCTAGTTACTACCAGTTGTATTGTGTATCCTTGTTTTAAATGAAAACCCTTTTTATATGAAAACTCTGGCTATTACCAGGAATGTATAAAATGTTTTGTTTGAAAACCCTGGTCACCATGAGTATGTATAGTAGTTTCGTCACTTATAATAAAACCATGAATTGTATCCCTGGAAATTCTACCGTGTTATGTATAGTAGTTCTATTAATTAAAAAAAACTAATGGAGAATGAAATTCCCTAAACAAAAGGTAGTTTATACTATTGTGAGTCGTATAATCATGCTTGATATGACTGATGATCTCCATGACGTTCTTCAAGCGTCGGACGGTATGATATTTTTCACCCCAGGCATGCCTGCCTAACTATAGCTAGCAGTTTAGGTGTGGGATTGTCAATCCTGAATAGATCTATTTACAAATCTCTCGCTCTCCCTCTAGGAGACTCTGGTTACACTAAAGGATAGGATTTAGCCCATACCCCTAAGGGTACAAATTAAGAGTTGTCTCATAATTTTGTATTAACTAGTTTACGTGCGGTTATGTATTGTTCTCTTATATTTGTATCCGCTTATAAATCTTGAAGAGTAATAATAATTATTCTTAAATAATTATTCAATGTCGTACTCTTGAAATCCGGAAGTATTAATGTTTATCATAAACTAAATCTGTCATAGCTTATATGTTTGAGAATGTATAAGTTTTGAATTTGTAAAACATTATGTAGAAATCCTAAACTATACATATTATAGTTCATATGTAGGTTATGTACTCGGTTCATGTATTGATCTGAAAACTACACAATTTTGACTGTAGTTCGAAAGTGTCCCTTATGCCCAACATGTTTAAAAGGGATAAAATATCTCAAATACTTTATAAAAATATGTGATCTTTTAGTTGTATCAATTGCATAAGTTCTAATCGTATAGAGGTTTTGTGAATAAAGTTCACTAAAAACAATTTGTGTTTGGCTTGTATCCCCTCCCCCTAAAACATTAAAATAATAAAAGTGTAGGGGTATGAACTCACAGATGATTGTGTGTATGTGCGAGACAACGAGACTACAATTGAGGACCCTCGAGTTGTACGTGAAGTTAACGAAATCCTATCAATAATTAAACACATATTTGTATCTAAAATTAGCTATTTTATTAGATAAAGTGTTAGAATAACACTTGCTTTCGGCTAAAGAATATTACCGAGGCTCGATCGAAGTGGAAAAGTGGGTTTACAGCCAAGATTCACGGTGTAGGGCTGATTACGGCCGTGAACTATTCTCATCCGTGAACAGTTTACTGCCTTTGAAGGGTTTACGGTTCTTGAAGGTTTCAAGGGTTCATTACCTATTCTTGGTGAAATATGAAGACTTGAGGGGTTTACGGCTATGAAATCAAGAACAACAATGTTTGAATCAACGAAAAATCAAATGTTTGATGCTCCAAAACGTGTTTTAAGGTGAATGCAATGATAGATGAAGAGAAAACTTGAGAAATTTTGGGTTTTCAGGCGAGGTTTTTTTGAGAGAGAAAGTGTGTTTGCTGCCAGAAAAGTATGAATAAGGGTAGGAATGACATATTTATAGGCTGGGAGTATGGTTGGTAGTGGTGTCTAGCCATGAACGGTTTACGGCTGTGAACACCACTTGGACCAGAAACAACTGATTTTCGAAGAAAACTTGAGTTTTTCACGCGATTTTTGTTCCGACTCTTATATAAAGTTTGATTATATAACTTAAATGATTTTCCAAACCGTAAGAACTTGATAGAACTGAATAAAAATTCAAAATTTATTTAATGAAATCGACTGACGTTAACAGAAAAAGGTTCGGGTTGTCACATCATCCCCCCTATAGAGGGAATTTTGTCCCGAAATTCTAACATAGAAGACAATCATGGAGTCAGAAAAAGATGCGGGTACTTCTGTTTCTTCTGATCTGCATGCTCCTAAATGATTTCAGGTCCCTGTCTGGCATTCCAGCGGGCCTTCACTATCGGTATGCGACTTTGCTTTGTTTGTTTGACTTCCCGATCCATGATTTCGATTGGTTCTTCCATGAAATTCAGGTTCTCATTGATCTCGATGTCATCAAGAGGGATCAAAAGGGTTTCTTCGGATATACACTTTTTAAGGTTCGACACGTGGAAGACGGGATGGATGTTGCTAAGCTCTAAGGGTAAAAGAAGTTTGTACGCTACGAGACTAATCCTAGCAAGAATCTAGAATAGTCCAATGTATCTAGGATTTAGATTTCCACGCTTCCCAAAGCGTATCACGCCCTTCCAGGATGAGAGCTTCAACATAACACGGTCACCAACCTATAACTCCAAGGGTTTTCGTCGTCTGTCGGCATAGCTCTCTTGCCTATCCATAGAGGCTTTCAGTCGTTCTTTGATTTGTACGATCTTTTCTATGGTTTCGCAAATTATTTTTGTGCCTGTGAGAGTGTTGTCGGGGACTTGAACCTTGGCTAGCTGCATGTCACCCACCTTAGCCCAGCACAGAGGGGATCTACACTTACGACCATAAAGGGTTTCAAACGGAGTAGCCTTGATACTGGTATGATAACTGTTGTTGTAGGAGAATTCGACCAAGGGAAAATGGGTGTCCCACAACATTCCAAAATCTATGACACATGCTCTCAACATGTCTTCCAACGTTCGAATGGTTCTCTTACTCTACCCATCATTTTGTTAATGGTAGGTTGTGCTCATACCCATCTTAGTTCCAAGAGCCTTCTGTAGTGACTGCCAAAATCTCGAGGTGAATCTGCTATCCCGATCAGAGATAATGGACACATGCACACTATGCAGATAGACTATCTCTTGAATGTAGATTCGTGTCAATCTCTCCATCTTGGAGGTTTCTTTGATTGGTAGCATGTGGGCTGATTTAATCAATTTGTTGACAATTACCGAGATGGTATCGTACCCACTCAGAGACTTGGGAAATTTAGTGATAAAATCCATCATAATCCTTTCCCACTTCCACTCAGGTATTTCTGGCTGACGAAGTAGACCTGAGGACTTTTGATACTCCACTTTCACCTTGGCACAAGTTAGGCACTTTCCCACAAAGGTGGGGATCTCTTCTTTTATATTTGGTGACCAATAGAGATTTTTGAGATCCAGATAAATCATATCTGAACTTGGGTGAATCGAGTATCGAGTTCTGTGAGCTTCGCTCATGATAGCCTCTCTGTAACCGCCGAACTTCGGGGTCCAGATCTGGTTCACGAAATAGTAGACTCCGTATCCCCTGATCTCTAAATGCTTTTACATTCCCTTCAAAGCTTCATATGGCATGTTCTCTGGATTCAAGGCTTCTAGTTGAGCCTCTCTAATCTGAGCGGATAGATAGGAATAGATGGTCATAGTTAGTGCCTTCACTCTACGACAAGAGTACTTTTTCCAGCTGAGGGTGTTTGCTACCACATTGGCATTGCCTGGATGATAGTGAATCTCAAACTCATAATCTTTGAGTAGCTCCACCCATGGTCGTTGCCTCATGTTCAATTCCTTCTGATCGAAAATTTGTTGTAAGCTCTTATGGTCGATGATGACGGTGCACTTGGTTCCGTAGTGATAATGTCTCCATATCTTTAATGCGAAAACAAGAGCTTCCAACTCAAGGTCATGAGTTGTATAATTGACTTCGTGTGCTTTCAGCTATCTCGAGGCATAATCAATGACTTTTCCTCGTTGCATGAGCACACAACCTAGGCCCTGAATGGATGCATTACAGTAGACAACAAAGTCCTCCGTCCCTTCTAGAAAAGACAAGATAGGCACGCTACATACGACCTTCTTTAATGTTTGAAACGCAATGTCGTGATTTTCTCCCCAACTAAAGAGAACACCTTTCTAACTTAGGATGGTCAAAGGCTTA